TCAACCTTGAGCCGGTGAGATTTGAACTGCAGATAGCAGTCAGCTGAAGTGGCCTGCAGTACTGCACTCTAACCACTGCGCCACCTCGGCTCTTAAGGAAAAAGAATAGTAATATTTTTTTAACAATTGGCATAAAACTTATGTGAAGGAAAATGCAGTGTTCTCATCATCCCCCCCAAATATTTAAAATCAGGAGTGTAGGATTAAATGTCTCCGTTTTGGGAAATGCTATGTGTATTCTTTATCATGTTGATTAGCTTATAATTTCTAAGAGAAAATGGAAACATGGATGTTGCTTGTTCCTTTGTGGTACATAATTCCGTTCTTAGTTCTATGAATCTGAATGACATCAGTCTGTTGAAGAGTGCTATGAAAGAGAAAGATGGAACAGAAGTTTCAGCTCTCTCTACTTTATAAAATCATGCAATGTATCTTCATTTTTTTTTATTGTTCTCTTCCGATTCCTTTTCTTTTGGTTGCCATCCTTATCATTTGGATTAGTTGTCATATCACTGCAGGTCTTTCAAAGATGCCATCAGCTTCATGTCAATGTTTTGTTTCTTAACTTAACCTCATGCTGTTCATTTCATTTTCACATGCACTTTTCTGATGTTGCCTAGGAAGTGCTTTTATTAACGTTTGAGATTCTAGAAACAGCACTTTAACGAAATAGAAGAGGTGGATTGAAGTTGCTTATCTAGGAAACACTTGCTGTTAAAAATCTCTTAACATTTGTGCCTTTGCTAGAAATTGAAAACATTGTTAATACTATTATGCAAACGGAGTTCATCCTGGCAGCCCCTGGATAAATATAATCCTATTTTGTGGGATAAAGTACAATAGCGCATGAATCTGATAGTCTTCACGTGGCTTTTGTTTCCAGTATCTTTTTTAAAAGTGTTCTAGTTAATCATACCCCATTATAGCATATACAATAGAAATCAAGGTTACCTAGGCAACCTATACAGGACAGGAAGACTTGGCAGACATTTTGAAATCATTGGATTGGTGGGTTCCAATTATTCTTGCATGTTGTCCACAACCATGACAAGCTGCATATAAGCAGAGATAAGATACATGAAATAATTCAAACAATCCCTTTGAGCCAAGTGGTTGAACTGGCCCACGAGGAAAGTCTGTGTTGATCTAATTGACTTTCATTGGAACTTGAAAGATGGTGATAGGCGCACAGTTCAGTAACAGTTTCTGAAAGCCAGGGGTCATAAACTACCTTCCTTTGCAAGCAGGTTTAAAATTGTCCGGAAGGAGAAGGAAAGCATATTTCAGATTAATAACACAATAGGCTCTCAAAGAGATCCTTTGTTTTTTTAGCTCCTAATTAATCCATTGAGCGCTTACCAGCTTATAGGTTGGTTGGTGTTTGGTACTAAATAAACCTCTGTGAAATTATTTAGCTATTTTTATAGCATCGTTCTGCAGCCAGCCCAGAGGTTATGTTGGGATAGTTTAGTTTAGTTTATTAGTTTTGTATGCCGCCCACTCCTGAAGGACTCCGGGCGGCTTACAATAAAAAGGGAAAGGGGATAAATAAGACAATACAACAAATTAAAATTCAACAACATTCATAGTTACAGTGGGGCTGGATACTTCAATAGCCCCCAGCCTGCCGGAGCAGCCAAGACTTAGTGGCTTTACGGAAGGCAGGGAGGGTCTTAAGGGTCCGGATTTCCACGGGAAGCTCGTTCCAGAGGGCCGGAGCTGCAACAGAGAAGGCTCCCCCCCGGGGGGTGGCCAGCCGACATTGGCTGGCTGATGGAATCTGGAGAAGGCCTAATCTGTGCGATCAAATTGATCTTTGGGAGGTAATTGGCAGGAGGCGGTCTCTCTATGCTGATTTACACTGTGATATTATCATACTTACACATTGGATTATATACCCTGTGAGGAAGACTTGAGTTCTTTTCTCATAATAATTATCTGATACTTAATAAATCAAGTTCAAAAGTTATGGTCTTTGGGAAATGACATCGTAGCCATAGATGGTCAGCCAATAGAGCAAGTAAGACCTTTCCTTACCTGGGGTAGTTTTCTTTGAGACTGAATCTTGGCTCCCTCAACATCAAACGAGCTTAGTTAGATCAAAGACAGGAGTGAAAGTGGTGCTTAAAAGAAAACCTCATAGCTCTCCAGCTTCCTCAGCTCCAATTATTGAAGTATGTGAGGCCAAGGTTTT